AGAGACACTTTACAGAATCAATTCGATTGGAAAAGACCCTGAGATCATTGAGTTCCCTTCCTCTGGAGCCGTCGGTGTCTCCCCGAGCCCGGACTTGGCCGTGCCGCAGTCGCGGAACCGCAGCGATGCCGCGGGATGCGGGCGATGCCGCACGGCCCCTGCGGGGACCGCACCCGCTCCGCGCCGCTGCCCCGCCGCCAGCCCCGTGCCCTCCGTGCCCCCTCACAGGGCACTGCAGAGCGGCCACAGACTCCCAAAGATCTCATTCTGTGAGTCAAAGTCGTTTTCCTTTTACGACCGGGTTCATACTTGTCTGCTACAGCTACTGAACCGTGCCCCAGACGGAGTACGGTTCATAACCTTTCCCAGGAAAGCAGCTACGTTAGCACATCCCCGAGCAGTTCTCTGCTCTTGATGTCAGAGCAGTTATTCACCCCCTGGCAGAATGCTGCTTTTCGAAATCCCTCCTGAAAATTCAGCTAATTTCTACAGTTCTCCTCTGTGCTAAAAATGCATATTGTTTTTTTTTTTAGATCTGCCTTCCATAAACTTCCCCAAACTCCCTCTGCTTCAGCCCCTTCCAAATAAATATGATTACTCGGAATTTTGCTCTCACGTTTATGGGTGTTATGCAGCAAGTTTTCCAAAATTTTCACAGAATTGACAATAGGACATAAGTGCTATTTTGATACATTTCAGAAGAATAAAGTATTTGGGATAAGACTTTGCCTTCTGAACTAGAATTTTGTGGTAACTAGCAAGCTTGGTCCTAGTTACCACCCAAATACAGGTATTCTAAAAATAGTACAGATCCAGCCAGGAGAAAAGTCGGCTGAGTTTCAAGACAACCCACAATTTGTTAATAAAAACTTTTTCCTAACCCAACAGAATGTTTCAGTATTTACTTAGCTCCTCAAAGAGTTTTGCAAGAGTTTATCTGCTTTTTAGACACTCATTCTAGAAAAAGGGAAGTGGATCTTTTAATGACAGGGTGGGGAATATCCTGTGTTAATGTTGGGCTTTTTTTGCTTTTCTGCCTGTTTGTTTCCCTGTGAAATAAGAGGACTTCTAGCTGCTATTAGAAAGTTCCCAAGGACCTGGAATTATCAAATGAAAATGTGGTTTAAAGTTCCAGGAACATTTAAGCTGCGTGACAGAGATTGGATTGTGCAACTAATTTGAGCTAGCGTAGACTATGCCTGCTAGTGAGGACATTTGTAAAGTACAGCTGGTCCAAGCAACCCCTCTCTTGCTTTCAGTTTCCTTGCTGATGTTTTCTTTCCTTCCTTCTTTCTGTTTTGTCCACTCCTTCTCACAGGAGAGCCAATGCCAAGCACACATGCAATCGTTCTCTGCTTTTGACTTCCTGCCCATCAATGTTGCTGAAACATTTTTTCCCGTCTCTCTCCCTTCTCCCTGAATGCTCAACTAGTTGTCACCTTCCCATCCCGATTTATGGCAATCACAACTGCTGCCAGAGCCTTTGAACCCTGCCACCTACCAGAGACTTCCCATTTCTCAATCTCATTGAGTCCTGTCCTGCAGCTTTCTGTTGCAAGTCTCATGCTCGTTCATGTTCTTGTGGGCCAGTGCACTTGCGCTGTAGTGACTGGGACTCGTGTAGACACACCTGAGGTATCTTTCAAATGATCTGTTGAACAAGTACTTGGGGTATGGCTTCATGTTCAGTGTAAACTGATTTACAGTCATCTTACTGACCTGCCCTTGGCTGTGTGTTCCTGCCTTTTCCACCCACACAACCAAAGTCAATGATTGTGGGGCCACGCAGTGGGTTTGCAGATGCACAAAAATCCAACCTTTTTTCCTGTGCATGTTCCCTAAATCAGATTAACAAATGGTGCCAGTGCTGATGTGCCTGCACAATTACTAAGTCCAGCAAGAGGCAACAATTATTAGCAGCACAGGGCCATGGAGAATTGTCCCTTTCGAGACCAGAAGTTGTTCCACACCAGTGTTGAGATTCCTCCTTTCTGATTTTGCAGAAGCTTCTGTCAATACTTCAGGTCTCAGCCGACATAATTACAGACGCTTCAGAAGATGGCTGGAGTCAGTTCAGAGAAGGGCTCAAAGAGAATACAGCTGGATATGAGGCACAAAAATCCAAAACTGTGTTGAAAAAAACCCAGTCTGACTCATGCGGCTTCTCATTTCTCGACCTTTGTCGTGTTCTTTGTTCTCTTTGGGGACATCTAGAATTTTGAGATACATGTTCACAGGAGACATGAACTCTGCAAACTCTGAACTGCTGCCCAACCCTTGCTGGAAATGAGAAATTATGTGGAATAAAACCCATCTCTTTTCAAGAGCATTTTTGGGTGGACATGGAACCAAGCATGTTTGTGCAAAAGTTGTATACCCCATCTCTGTAAATTCCATTACAAGCCCATGCATCAACTTTTCTGCTCATTATTCCCTAAGTATCAAGATCTATTTAATTCACCTATTTATTTGGCAAAGCAACTCCTTCACCCAACAAGGGAGGCAGGGCACAAACCTGGTTTTACAGTTGTCTGGCCAAGCCTTGCAAGAGCCTCATACAGAAGCCTCAGAAGACAGACGTAGAAAATGCAGTTGGTCCTTTATTCTCCAGTAAATAAAAATTATACCTGACTTACATTACATCATGTAAGAGCTGGTACAACTGCCTGGGCATATACATTAGTCTAACCACCTTGTAAGTTGAGTTAGTTGAAGAAGACAACAATAAGTACATCCCCAAAGAGCAAAAGTCTGGGTTTGAAAATTTTAACTCCAGAACAGAGCAAAAACACAACCACAAACTTACTGGATATTTTTTAGGAAAGTAGGATGATCTGCTGGGATGTTTCCTTAGTTGTGATTCACATCTTGTTTCTACTGATAAATTTGTGTGCATTACTGTATCTGTTTTCCTGATGAATCATGTTTTCGAGACTTCCCTGAGCTGGATGTTGTAGTGCTCATGATCCTTTAGGATTTTGAAGTCAACATCTTCTATTTGTTGCTGAATAATTTAGTGTTCATGATTTCATTTGGTGTACTTCTGTGTTTGAAGAGTCATTTTGGTAATCTTTAGAGGGTGCATATGTGATAGCTCAGTGCACTAGAGTTTAATCACATGAATCTTACCACTGGTATTAGCT